CTAGGCCCCCCACCCCCAGCCCCACCCTGTCATAGCACCCCCTCCCGCCCCAGCCCCCACCTTGTCGTAGGCACCCCTCTTGAGGATCTTCTCGGGCTTGCTGCAGGTCTCTGGGCTCCGGCGGCCTGACGTCTGCAGGGTGACCCCAGGTCTGTGTGAGCGCCAGCCCACACCCCCTTCCCCAGCCCCCAGGGCCACCGCCTTCCCAGGCCCCAGGCCTGCTTGTCCTCTCTCCTCTGGCCCTGGACCCAACTCTAAGGGCAGCCCCTCCTGGGGAGCAGACGATCTCTGGGGCCTGGGGGTGAAATGACCTTCCTCTGTGCCCACCACCCTGAGCCTCAGACGCTTGGAGAAACCCCAGGCCCAACCCTCAGCCCGCCTCTAGGACGTTACCTTGCTGTTGGGTGGGGGCGGCTTCTTGGGTGGAGGGGGCTCCCGGCTGGGTAGGCAGGAGTCGGCACTGTTGTCGCTCTCGCTATCACTGAAGCTCAACCTGAACGCAGACACGACACCCTGTCAGGCTATCCGGTGCTCAGGGGAGGGGGCCCCACCCTGCAAACAATGCTCTGGGGCTCTGGGACGGACTCGGCCCCTCCCTGGGGCCAGGCCAGCACCCAGCGCTCCCCCTACAGCTCAGGAGACCCCCTCAGCCAGCTCTAGGCAGTCACTGCCAGCTTAAAAGAAAAGGAAAGAAAGAATGCATCTGAGCTGCCTTCAAAGAGCAAAGAACCCAGAGATGAGCACGCTGGCTCTGAGAGGCTCTGGGATCCCGGCGGAGCTCGCTGCTGGCTGCAGGCTCAGAATGCCGGGTGCGGTGAGGCACCCTGCAGGAGAGTCACTGTCAGCGGCAGCCTGAGCCCAACGCCCCGGGAGGGAGGGACACAGGTGCCGGCGTGGTGACATCAGACGCCCGCCCCTTGCTGGGCGGGGACCAGACCCCGACTCTGCTGAGCCCACCCCACAGTCCTGGGGCCAAGGCTGGCACTTGCGCTGGGCTGGAGGCTGAGAACGCACAGCCATCCCTGAGGTGGGCTCGCTCCCAAGGCCTAGGGGTGTCCAAAGGAGGGGCCTCGGCTTACCCCACTCTGGGGGAAGGCCACACGTCATCTTCCCTAGGCCAGTGCACCTGAGGAAGGGGGAAGGGACCCCTGGCCCGAGCCCGAGAGCAGAGGAACCAGCCCCCACTGCCCCATGCGCCTGGGACCAAGGCTGGTCCTCGGGCTGCCGGGCAGCGCCTTGCCCCCATTCTTGGGTGGTGATGGGCTCTTCTCCCTGAGCGCCCTGCCCCTCCCTGCCAGGCAGCCACACCCTCCAGCAAGGGGAGGAAGGATGCCCCCGAGGCCCCCAGGCCCACCTCAATGCCTAGGCAGGGCGCTGCCCAGTGGGCTCAGAGGCTCCCTTTGCCTCACCCCGGGGAGCCCCCGTCCTGGCCCACCTCCTGGAGGCCCCACGATTACAGCAGGGCCAGACAGAGCTGCCCCGGTGAGCCCACGCCCACTCCTCCCCTCCGGCCCAGGCACCTGGAGTCCCTTCCTGCGTTCGTCTTGCCAGCGGCCTCCTCGCCTGACGAAGAGTCGTCCTCGTCAGATTCCTCGGACTGCAGGTCCTCCACCATGGAGCGCAGGGGTCCTGGTGAGGGCCGCGAGGGAGGGATGGAGGGAGGGAGGGGGAGAGAAGGGGGTTCAGGGCTCCACGTGCACCCCAGAGTCCCCTCCACCCCCAGGGCCACATGGAGCTCCTTGACGCCACGACCCCCAGAACGCACCCAAGGCAAACCCACCTCGGAGGTTCCTCCGGCCAGGTGGGGCCTGCCGCCCATCTCCAAGCACTGCGCCCGTGGCCACCCCCTCCTTAAGAGACCCCTGGCTCCCCCCCCCCCCCCCTCCCTGGCCCCCCCCAGTCAGAAATCCACATATAACTTCACGGTCGGCCCTCCATATTCACAGTTCTGCATTCTCAGAATCAACCTTCAGGGCTCCACGTGCACCCCAGAGTCCCCTCCACCCCCAGGGCCACATGGAGCTCCTTGACGCCACGACCCCCAGAACGCACCCAAGGCAAACCCACCTCGGAGGTTCCTCCGGCCAGGTGGGGCCTGCCGCCCATCTCCAAGCACTGCGCCCGTGGCCACCCCCTCCTTAAGAGACCCCTGGCCCCCCCCCCCCCTACCTTCCTGGCCCTCCTCACAGGCCTCTGGCCCCTGGCCCAAGACAGGACCGCAGGGCCCCTCCATTGCAAAGGGAAGGAGCAGCCCTCCTCTGCTCCGGGTGCTGGGATCAGAGCTCTGCCTGCAGGCAGGACGAACCAGCCCTGGCTGAGGAGGGAACACCAGCCCCCCAGCCTGCGCCCCTCCTCGGGCCTGCCCAGCCCCGTGGCAGGCCCCTCCACTGCTCCCGGCCCACCGTCCTCCCCTTTCTCCAGAGACACTCGGTTCCAGTCCCCTACAGACGGCATCTTGGTTTATATTCCTGTTACCAAGGCAACAGAGGGACACAAAGCCCTCAATTACCTTGGTCATGTGATCCTGTGCACGGCAGGTTTCCCCCTCCCTTCCCCATATATAAGAACCATTGGAGAGAGAGCACCCCATCCCCCAGCCCCCTCAGGACTGCGTGTCTTTATGTCAGGCCCCCGGACTACGCTCGCCTCCCCCAGCCCTCCCCGACCCTCCGAAAAGGACTGCAAGCCGTGGAGGAAATTCTCAATCCGATCCACCAGAAGAGGTGCTTCCAGTGCGAGGGTGGGCAGGGGTCGATGGGCCAGGGGGCCCTATCCACCCTGGGGCAGGAAATGGGTCCGGTGCCGCCTCCCAACAAGTACCCCAGGCAGCCTGCAGGGAAAAGGCAGCACTGCAGGCTGCGGGGGCCTGGGCCGAGTGCTGGCCAGGCACGCGGCAGGAGCAGAGTGCTTGGCTGGCTGGCTGGCTGAGGCAGAGGAAGGGACCCTGCGCTGGCCAAGTGAGCCTCCATCTGGGAGGAGCTGGAGAGGAGGCTTCTGGCAAGGGCAGGGCCCAAGTCACAACAGGACCCTCCGCCGCAGACCCACAAAGCACAGCTCAAAGCCCTGTCGCACAGATGGGGCAAAGCTGAGGGCCCAGGCGACGGACAGCTGGCGGTCGGGTGATCTGTGCCAGTTTTGCTTTTAACACCGGACCCCTGAGCATCCACACACCTATGGACATGGATCTCTGGGGCCCGGTCCAGGCAAACAGCATATCCTGAAGTGAAACCCTGGGCAAGCTCAGCCCAGGCCCGAGCCTCCCTACCCTCCCTCGCCCCCTGCCCTCGGGTTTTTCTGGCCATGGCGGCAGCGTTCAGACTCAGGATGTGCTGAAACTCGGGCACGAGCAAGCTCATATCGGGAAATTCCTTGTGAACCCCTGGACTCCATACCAGACCCAGTGCCCCAATGGCCTCCGGGAAGGTCAGGGGGCTGCTCCCAGAGCAGTGAGCCTTTCCACCAGAAACCAGCCCCATGCGTCCCCACCCCGGCTCTCTCCTTTCCCAGCACACACCTTGACTGTGGTTCTGAGATGGCTCAAAATCCGAATCTGAACTGGAGTCGGAGCTGGAGCTGGAGTTGGATGGGCTCGACTGGGCGGACTTCACCCCACGGCAGGGCAGGCGGGGCAGCAGGGAGAGAGGACAACAGTCATCTTTCAGTCCAAAGAAAAGGAGCCCTCCGGTGGCAGGGAGAGCCAGGCAGGACGCCCCAGATACGCACTCAAAAGGCCGCCAAGGCGCCAGGCCCCGGCACCCGAGACCCTGACCCCATCCCACCTCCTCCCCCAACCCCAGGATGCCGCCGGTGTGCATTCAAAATGCAACCAATGACCTTTCTTTTCCCACTGAGGGACAGTAAATCTCCAGCCACGCCTGGTGCTCCCACCTACGCAGGCAGGAGGACAGGGCCGAGGCAAGCGCTCGCCGCGGGGGGATTGGGGGCGGGCGGGGGGCAGGCGACTGTGGCTGCTCTCACTTGTGGGCCCTGCCCTCCTCCGGCGAGAGCACAGCTGGCTGGCGTGCGCTGCGGCGCTGCGGCCAACAGCTGAAAGGTCCGAACAGGAAAGGTGGGTGCATTCTCATCCTGCCCCTCATTTCCTCAGTCTGTCCTGAGGCTGAGTAGCGACAACAAGCTGTCTCCCTGTCACTGGGTGCCCCTGAGGTGATGATGAGTGAGTGTGTGGGCAAGTGACAAGCACTTGAGGACACAGTGGACTCACAGCTGGCCCCACTGCACCCAGAGCTGGTCACATCTCCCTTCTCCTCTTCCTTTAGCCCTGACTTGGCCACCAGGGGGCAGTAAAAGCCCAAACTAGGAGCCCAGGCCCTAGGATACTAGGGCGTAAGTAGCGTGGGGCGGCAACTCCCACTTGAGAGGCCTGCGTGGGGAAGGGGCTGAGCCAGAACTGGGTGGCGTCTGCTCTGGGCCCTCAGGAGAAACCAACAGGCATCCTGCACAGGTATGCGCAGCAGAGTGATAAGCCCAGGGCTGGGGGCTGGGCCAGACTGGGCTCCAGTGGGCACTCCATGGCTCAGAAAGCCTGCCAGCCCAGGGTGCCCAGACACCGTCCAGCCTTCTGTCCTCGGGGACTGTCTGGGGGAGCTGAGCAGCCTGAGCACCTGGAAGGGGCCAGGAGACAGGCGGAGGCACCCAGCAGTGTCTCCTCAGTCCTGGCACGTGCCGCAGGAGAGGAGACCCCAGGAGAGGAGCCCCTCCCGCTGGCCCGTGGGCTGAGGGCAGCCCCAGCTCCCAGTAGGAGACCCGGGAAGGCTCAGGTCTCAGCGAAGGATCCCACCGCCTGGGCACAGAATGCTTCCCAGCTGAAGAGTTGAGGGCTCCCTCCTCTGGGGTCCGCCACCGCCCAGCCCGACCCGCTCCGGGCCCTCCCAGCACGCCCCTGCCAACGTCCCCGACTTGCCACCTTCACATGGGCCAGTGGTGTGCCCTGAGGAACCCTCCCCGGGAAACCAGCCTAGACTGCCATTAACCACTGTCCACTGGGTGGGTACCACTCAGACCAGTGTGTGACCCTCCCCACCCCAAAAAACAGGCCTGGAGCCACACGGTCCCCCCTGCATGCATATCCCTGAGTTCTTATTCTGGCTCGGAGGTCCTGGCTCCTGACCTTGGCTTTCTCACCAACTGGCCAAGGCAGCCCCTGGTTTTAAGCCTTAGTTTTCCCATCTGTAAAAGAGCTGCCCTGCTGGCCTCTGCTAAGCACACGGAGGTCGATGCCAATTGCGCTTCCGACCTCTGGGGCAGGGAATTCGGACAGAGCCCCGGGGCAGGGAAGACCTGGCTGGGAGGCCACCAGCACACAGGCTTGGGACAACAGGCTCAGGAAGGTCCAGGGCAGGGCAGCACCTGCTCTGTCCTGACGGCCCAGGCCAGGCGGGCTTCTCAGCCACACTCGTCCCCTTTCCTTCCACATGAATCCAAGCGGCGGGGTGTGGAGGGGAGGGGGGAATCTGGAAGTGGTTTCAGTCCCAAGAGCCTAATGGTTCCTGGGGGTCAGAAAAGCCCTCGAGGGGCTGCCGACGTGTCCTGGGGCTCAGGCCACACGGGGCGTCCGGAAGGCGGGTGGAGGGCCTGCTGTGCTCCCAGTGCTCCGGGGCCTGTGACTGAAAGGGACTGAGTGTCAGGAACCCCACAGCCAAGGAGACCCCAGAGGAGCAGCCAGAGGAGCTGGGGGGCTTGGCCTGGGACTCAGACGAGGAGCTGCCTGGCCCTTCTGAGGGCCGACGGGGAGGAGGAGACTCGGGCTCCGCGCAGCGGACAGAGCTTTCCGGCAGTGGCACCCACTCCGCCTCCAGCGTGGGACGGCCGGAGACAGGCAAGGGCAGCTGGGGAGGCCTGGGTCTGGAAGGCCGTCTCGCCCCCTTCACCATGGCCAGCTGTGCCTCGCCAGGTCCCAGGGTCAGGACATGTGAGTCCCCGTCCAGCAGCCCTAGAGATCCCTCGGGCAGGCTGTCGGCCCAGACTCGCCGTTCAGAAGTCTCTCAGCGTGCGGGATGCGCCTCTTCAGCCAGGAGAAAGCCCTGGGCTTCCTTGAGCGATTCCAGCCTCAGGGCCGTGGTGGACAAGGCCACAGACACTGGACACCCAGCCAGCCCCACCCCCCCGCACGGAGCAGGCAGAGGTAGCTGCCCACAGTGGCACGGGTGCTCACAACAATCACAGGAGGACGTCAGCGTGGACACCCGGGGCCAGGGCGCCAACAATCAGCTGGGGAGGCAGGGCTCAGGGAGGCCTCCACCTCTTCCCTACATAAGGGCACCAGCCTTGGGCACAGGAAGGTCTCTCTGGAAGAACCTGAGGCGGACAGGAGGGAAGCGCACCAGACCGGAGCTCCGGGTCTGAGCAGACGGAAGAGAAAGATGCTAGATGGGGCGCTATGAAGCACCCAAAGAACCTCTGGCAACTGAGAGGTGGCTGGGAGGGTCCTGGACTCCCAGGAGTCTCCAAGTAAGACAGACGTTCCGGGGTCCTGCCATCCTCAGGTTCATTGGCAGACAGTCTCCTGGGTGCAAGAAGAGCTGGGCATGTGACATCACCAGCCCTGTGTGTGTCCCTAATTGTGGGGATGCACTGTTACCCATGAGCCAAACTGTCACCCCCAGCCACCTCCAACGAGGTGCCCCTGGAAGCCGCACGCTCACGACATCGGTGCTACTGACACAAACCACCTCTGGCTTCACCTCTGGGAACCACCTGCAAAGTCCCAGTGGCTCTCTGAGCAGCAATGCTGGAGACCAAGCTTCTGCCTTTGAGAGTGAATAAAAGAGTCTGAGAACTATAAAAGGCCACTGAGAGCTTCCCTGGTGGCGCAGTGGTTAAGAATCCGCCTGCCAATGCAGGGGACATGGGTTCGGGCCCTGGTCCGGGAAGATCCCACACGCCGCGGAGCAGCTAAGCCCGTGCACCACAACTACTGAGCCTGCGCTTTAGAGCCTTCGAGCCACAGCTACTGAAGCCCGCGTGCCTGGAGCCCGTGCTCCAGAACAAGAGAAGCCGCCGCAATGAGAAGCCCGCGCACAGCAACAAAGACCCAATGCAGCCGTAAATAAATAATTAATTTTTTAAAAAAGGCCACTGAGGGCTGGGGCTGGTGATACAGGTGAGGGGGTCAATCCCTCACTCATCCATCCGCCCATCCAACTATGCATCCATCCATCCAAGTCCCTGTACGCTGAGTACCAGAGGCCAAACAGCATGCAGAAGTGACATGGCCCTCCAAGGCCCAGAGATCTGGCTACCCAGTCAACAATCTGGCCCCTAGCTCCTTTGTGACTCAAGCCGTCTCTGATGGTGACATTCAGAGCCACATGGAAATGCTGCTGCAGGAAAAACCCAGAACCTCTGGCTCCCGGACCCAGAGAGTGGGATGAAAACACACAGGGACACCACATCACGAGTGGAGGGAGGGGGTGCCCTGGCTGACCGAGCCTGCGGCAGCCGGGTAAAGACTCCATGGTGAGACACAATCGCCCACCCTGACCCCAAAGCGGCCAGTGAGGCCCTGGCCCACCCAGAGGGCAGCCCGAGAAGAGCAGTCAACGCAGGTACCAGTATCACGCTGAACTGGGACCCTTCATCCCAAGCACCGTCCACACAGATCTCATGAGGAGGTTTCGTCACCCCCAACGTAAGGGGAAACTGAGGCCTGGCAAGGCACAGAGGCTGCCCAAGGCTACATGGAGCAAGTGGGCACCCAGCCTCCTTGTAACCTCTGGGCGGCTCAGAGCCCGCGGAGAAAGGATGAGGGTGGGGTGCGGGAAGGGGAGAAGGGCGGGGGAAGGAGCCACCTCACCTCGGTCTTGAAGGAGGCCTCGTCCTCCGAGTTGGACTCCTCCACCTCCGGAGGCTTTTTGATCTCCCTGGGCTCGTTCTCAGGCTTGGCTTTCTCCCCTTTGGCACTGCCCTTGTCCTTGGCCGGCTTTTTGTCCGAGAAGGAGGAAGATGAGGTGCGGGGTGAGGTGCTCGGGGCGCTCCTGGACCCCTTGGAGCTGCTCTTCTTCTGCTTTTTGGCGCTGGGCTTGGGTGAGTCGGCGGCGGCCGGCCGCTTGCTGGAAGACTTGGGCGGGGGCGGCGGTGGGGGCCCGCCTTTGGGGGACATGCTCTCCAGTTTGGTCTCCTTCAGGGCCATCTTGGGCTCCTTGAATGCAGCCTTGGGCGGCGGGGCCTTGTCCTCCTTGGGGGGCCGGCCCTCGCCCAGCTTCCGCGCGGCGTCCTTGGCGCTCCTGGCCTGCTCGCGCTCCGGCTCCTTGCAGGCGCCCCTGCTCTCTGAGTCCTTGCGCGGCCGCTCCCGGTGCTCCTTGGTCGTCTTGTGGGCCTTGCAGGCCTTGCCGCTCTCCCTGCTGGCGTCCTGCAATGCCGGGCAGGAGGGGGACACAGTCAAATGGCATCTCGGGGCCGCCCTGCTCCGCCTCCCACGACCCCTACAAAGTATAATCCACCTGATTCAGACTCAGCTAGAGAAAATCTTCCATAAAGCGAAAAAGTAAGGCAGCAGGTGAGAGTTTTAAATGGAGCTGTCCCTTTAAACTACTAGGAAGTGTCAGCAGGTCCCAGGCGGCTGCAGGCTAAGACTCCCCTGAGGGATTCAAGAAGAGTACACGGTGAGTCAGATACAGACAGGCAAGCCACACCGACCCACTCCCGCTCCAGCGCCTCGCAGCTTCCCGCGGGGCTGCTGCGGCACGGGGGCTGGGGGCGCCAGCAGGCGGGGCCTCTCCTCTGTCCCCACCAGAGCCAGGTGCCTCCCCAGGTCGCCCCCACCCTGCCTGGAAGGCCCGGCTCCGGCCCCGGCCCGGCCTGGCCTGGCCCCAACGCACGTCGGCACCACAGCTCTTTGATCGCCCTTTAATCTCCACAGTCAGCATTTACTGAGCGCCTGCCAGGTTCCCAGGCACTGCGCATGACTAACGGCTCCTAGACATACCCCGGAACCCAAGCCGCCTGGGCAGCTTTTCTAAACCGTGTGCAATGCCTGAACCTCCGCCTCGGAAACCGAGGGTTGAGGGTGGAGCCTGGACTCTGGCGTTGATAAGCCAGGTCAGGGGGCCTCCCACCGGTGACAGAGACAGTGAGCGGCGCTGCACCGGGCCACTGGGAAGGCGGGCTGGTGGCCTCCAAGCCTGCACGCCTGCGCTCCCTCTGAGCAGGAGCAAGACCACCTACCTCACCAGGCGACAGTGCAGGGCGGGCAGGGCGGACAGCAAGTGCACAGTCACCCCGCCCCCGGGCAGGAGCCCCGTCTGACACCTTGGCGGGCCTGCTCCTCGCCAACACCGTGTACACCGCGTCACCACCTCGCCGCACAGCCAGGGCCGCGGGACAGGTGCCCGCTGCCGTCCCCTGCCAGGATTCTGCCCCCAACTCTGTGGGACAGGCACCCGGCTGGGCACCACCACCAGCAGCTAGACCACTGGGGCCCACCTGGGCGGGGCCCCCAAAGCAGCCTCCCTCGACCAGCTCACCCCAAGTGCTGAGTGGATGGGCGAGCCAGGTGAACACCCAGCAGCTGAGCCTCTGCTTCCTGCGCTCACAACCCCCAAGGGTCCAGCGACAGAAGCCTCCCAGCAAAGAGCCACAGGGAAAGACGGCACAGCCTAGAACCACCTCTGACCTACTAGAGTCCCCGTTTTCTTGCGGATCCACTACCCACACCAGTACCAAAGGTCCAGGGCCAGCCCCACGTGGCCATGGGCTCCTGCTGCCTCCCTGGAGAGAATTCGGCCCTGTGCCCTGGCCCCGGCCGTCACATCACCACGGCATCGGGAAGGGGTGCTCACACCACGAGCACCCCTTTAGAAGCCTGTGTAAAGGGGCACCCCTGGGGGGCTGCTGTGTGGAATGGGGCCAGTGTCTGGGGGCTCCACTCTCCAGCAAGCTGTTCCCCCAAGGAGGGAGGCAAGCAGCAGAGACCTCCCACACCATCCTGGCCTCTTCCTGCAGCGTCCATGAGCCTGCCTGGGCCGCACAGTCCCAGCCCCGAGAGGTGGAGCGGAGCACCCCTGATGGGCACGACTGCCGACAGCCCCCTGCCCGGGTCGGCAGAGCCTCCCCGCTGTCCAGGGCCTGCCCAACTAGCAGAGGCCTCGGAGCTGCGGCTTTTCACCCGGAGCTCTGTACGGGCACCCAAGAGCACAGGCCCTCTGAAGTCACACACTAAGTCTGTAGCATAATGTAGACGTTCCTGGGGCAAAGCTCCACTGCAGTCATGTTCTCAAAGCTGTCGAGGACCCAAAATGATTAAGAACCAAGCGTTAGAGAAAGGCCCACCAGGCCGACTGGCTGACATCAGACAAGGAGAGGCAGGGCACCCTGAAGCTATAGGCGCACGAGTCCAGGGGGCAGCGGGACCAAAGAGAACAGCCACCTGCACAGTGAGCCTTCAGGGGGTCCCAGTCCTCTCCTAGGAGGCTCTACTTCCTGCCTGCCAAGCTACCCTCCGGGGGTCTGTGGGAAGAAAAAGAACCACAGGGACCAATCCACCCGGGGCTGCAACAGCCAGACCCTCCAGTGGCCCCCAGGCCCTACAAGGACCACCCCCCTCCCTCCTGGCCCTTCTGCCTGGAGCATGCGGTCCAGCCAGTCAGACTCTGCAGGTCAAGGCAGTGGAGAATCCGTCTGGGGGAAAGAGCCGGTGCTTCCTCAGCTGGAAGAAGAGGCCGATGATTCAGAGGCAGGACTGTGACAATGGGCAGAGGGGTTCTGTCAGAGAGCCATTAGCAGAAACCTTCGCAGGGACCCCCTATGTCACAGCGTTCAGGGGCTGCAAAAAGATGCTGGACCGGGAGGGGTGAAGACGAAGGACCCTACCTGCAGGCCTCCCAAGCCTCGCAGATACACCCACTGGCTTGGGGGAGTCCCAGGGGTCTCAAAGACCTCAGCAAGAGATGCCACCCGCAACCCCAGCAGACGTGGCTCTGTCGGCCACTGGAGTGTCCTCACCACCTGGGAGGGCACTTCTTAAGTGACTTGCAAGCAACAGGTACAGAAGAGATGGCAGTTCTCACTCTTCCTATTTCGCACCGACTTCCAAAAAACCGTGGGTGGCTCGGAGAAGCTGCCAAGATCGCTAGCAAGAATTTTTCTTCCAGTCCCGTGAGGTTCAGGGAAAGACCTAGGAGTCCTGTGAGGGGAAGACCCTGGAGCCGCACTCTGCACTTGAAGACTCTGGCCTCACGCGTCCAGAGGGCTTAAGTCAGACAGATCTGAGGATTTCAGAGACCTAGTGGCCTTGTGGAAAGTGCCAGAAAGACCTTGCCTGGCTGACGTGGCCCTCCTCCAAGGCTGCTGATGAGCATAAGGCTGTAAGACGGTCCAAGAGCTCAACCTGTCCCACCTCAACCAGGCCCCCGACACCCGATAGGGAGTGAAGCAAGAAAACTGCCAAGATGAGAAATGGATAAATTGCAGGGTTGGTGGCGGACGACTAGCAGCTGCCCTGAGAGCCAGGCAGAGCTTGGCCTAGGGGACACAGCTGTGTAGGTGGCTGCAGCATGGGTGCATGCTCACAAGCTTCCAGGTCCACTGCGGTACCAGCCCGAGGGCTCCGGAGATCACTCCGGGACAGTTCAGAGAGAGAGGTGTCGGGAGGGCAGAGTGCCACCTGCCTGACTGGCCGAGAGCAGATGATGAAACGTTTCTTCTTGAGGCGAAACAGCTGGCTCCGCCACATGGTTCCACCCGGCCCTTCCCCCAGGCAAGCTCTCTCTGCCCAGAGCTACTGCCAAAGAAGGAAGCAGAGCCTGGAGCAGCCACGGGAGGGAGCACCAGCCCCGACTGATGGGGAGTCCCAGTTACACCCAGGAGGCAGCGGTGGACACGCTCTGTCCACGGCCCCCAGCCACGCCAGCCTCTTGGGGTTCTGTCCGAGTGGCCCTAGGCCCTCGGACTCGGTGGACGGGAGAACGGGGCAGGCTCTCTGGCCTCAAGAGGAACGGGGGAAGAACCTGCGATCATTTGGCTGTCTGAGCGGGTCAGGAGGGCGAGCCTCCTGATGAAGGGGCAGAGCAGCCGGGCGGAGCACAGAGATGTGCTCCGAGAGAGGATGCCAAGGGAGCGAGTCCGGGGACGGAAGGTCCAGCTCTGCGGAGGGGCGCCCTGAGCCCAGGCCCCGCCGCTGGGCCCCAGCGCTCCCACATGACTGGGCCTTCCGCCTCACTAACCTTGGAGCCGTGGGACGGTTTGGTCTTCTTGGGGTCAGAGAAGGCAGAGAGTGGAATTGTGGGTAACATGGGGTAGTCGGGGCTGGGCCTGGACACCGTTTCTGCTCCTTCGGGCATTACCATCACCTAGTGATAAAGAAGAGACAGATGTTATCAACGAGCAAGGAGGCAGGCTGGAAATTCGATCGGCAAGAGGAAGCCGGCCTGCGGAGCTTCCCTCCGGGAGGGGCTGAGTGCCGAGCGCTGGAGCCAAGCGGGGCCGGGCAGAGAGCAAAGAGAAGCCGGGTCCCAGGATGGCTGGGCGCGGTGGGCCGGGCTGGCCAAGAAGACGCGGAGCTGTGGCCAAAGCTGCCCCGCACGCAGCGGTGCAGACAGACCAGAAGCGCGGTTGGCATGGGCGGGAAGCTGGCCGGACACCCAGAGCAGGCAGCTGCGGCGGAGGGGACAACCTCTGCGGGATGTGTGTGCCCGATGCCCTCCTCCACCGTGAGGCGGGCGGGGTGGACAGACAGGGAGAGTGCGGCCAGGCCAGAGGAGAGCTGCGTGGGGTGGGCGCG